TGAGATTTGAACAGCCGAACTGCAGAACTGCAGTCAGCTGAAGTAGCCTGCAGTGCTGCATTTAACCACTGCGCCACCTCGGCTCTAGATACACCACTATATGCAAAACCAGATGCACCACTATATGCAAAAACGGGGCAACAGCTGTGTTACTAGAGCTAAGAACTTCTATTTCATACCTAACTCCTTACTCCGCTCTGCAAAGCCAGTCAGATTCAATCATGTAATTGTACAAAAGGAGACATCTGGTTCCTAACAAGATATCTGGACATTATAACAGCCTCCAGATAATCGGAATACATAATTACTAACCTTAGAACCTGTCTCCCCTGGTATTCCTCTCGCTCCATCTGCACCAGGACGACCCTGTGGGGAAAAAAGAAATGTCTGTTTTCCGAGTCAAGGCACATACTGCACATCACAAAATCGAAGGGAAAAAAATCCATCCCATCCTATAACTCTTATCTTTTTTAAAAAATCAAAAATGAACATTTTAAAGCATCAAAACTTACTCTTTTGCCAGCTTTTCCAGGCAGACCAGCTGGGCCTTGAATGCCTCGAGGGCCCTGAAAATATATGCATATGTAAGTGCACATGCTGTACACACAGACAACCAGACAGACACACATTATTTGAAGACTTGGGGGAGCCAAGAAACATCTTTTTTCATTTCCAGACATTCATTCATTCAGAAGGAAAGCACGCCATGAAGTGACTTTGAGAGACTATTTCTGCTACACTGCATCAAGGACATCATAAGATTATCCTTCATTATAATCCACCTCAAACTAAGTCTTTAACTGATGTCAACTAAAAAGGTAAAAGTTCCCCTCACGTATATGTGCTAGTTGTTCCTGGCTCTGGGGGGCTCATCTCTGTTTCTAAGCCGAAGAGCCAACACTGTCCGAAGACGTCTCCGTGGTCATGTGGCCGGCATGATTAAATGCCGAAGGTGCACGGAACACTGTTACCTTCCCACCAAAGTTGGTCCCTATTTTTCTACTTGCATTTTTACATGCTTTTGAACTGCTAGGTTGGCAGAAACGGAGAGAAGTGATGGGAGCTCACTCCGTTATGCGGCGCTAGAGATCCGAACCGCTGAACTGCCGACCTTTCTGATCGACAAGCACAGCGTCTTAGCCACTGAGCCACCACTTGATGACAACTAGGAGACCAATAAAAATGATTTCAGATTGATTTCAAACCAAATGAAGAGTAATCATATGGAGTTCTTGGTCCTCACTGATCTTGGTTGTTTCCTTACAGATTTTTCATTACCCAACTTGTTAAGGTAAGGTCAGCATCTCTGAAAGCACCAAGGATTCCATAATTCAACTCCTAGCTATATCTATTTTCTTCTATTGGAAGAATAACCAGTTTGCAAAATTCTTCCAATATTTTTATCCACTTGAAAAGGGTTAAAAAGAAAGATTTTTTCCATAGCCTTGAACACCCATAAAATACAGTTATTCAAACTGTACAAAATAAGTGCTTGCTAAGAAGGGGAAAAAAAACCCCAGACTCTATTAAACAATGGATTAAGAAATCTATCCCATATGGATTGATTAGATCCTACATTGTTTCTCTCCAAATCTGTTTCTCTCCAAGTATAAATCTTTCATTCTCTCTTCTGTGATGGAACCACAGATTTTAAATTGAAGTCTTCGCTGAATTGTTGACATTTAGTATTTTAAACAAGATTTTCTTCATTATACTATACTATACTATACTATACTATACTATACTATACTATACTATACTATACTATACTATACTATACTATACTATACTAT